CACAGACCAGGAGGACGGGGAGCAAAACAGAGCAAAGCCGCGGAGCACGCGGCCAGCTGACAGCCCAGACGTGTCTGGGCTGTCCGCTGCCCGCGTGTTCCGCCGCTTTGCTTCCTCTCCCTGGTCTGCTGGAGACCAGGGAGAGGAAGGGCCCCGTTTGTAACTGCGGATCCGACGTAAGTCGGGGACTGCCTGTATAGGTTGAGAGGATTATTCCAGGAGTGGATGGGTGAGATTCTGTGGCCTGAATTGTGCAGGGGGTCAGACTAGTCCTTTCTGACCTTAATGGTCCCTTCTGACCTTAAAGTCTATGAGTCTATGAAAATAACTTTGTACTTGCAAACTCATTACAAGGACTTGACAAATAGGCTAAACTGCTCGCCCGTGGCGAGTAGATTATAGCGCGGTACAGCCGCGCTGCACGGTCTGCGCATGTGCAGCGTGCGCTTCCGTGCGGCTGGCAAGCAGGGCCCGCCGCCGCTTGGCGAGCCCTGCTTATTACCAAAATCTGTATTTCTGTAAGTAATTCCCTGTCCTGCAACCACTGATATACCCACCTTGCTTTTCTATTACTGTATTGTGTATTCAAATATTTGGCATTTTACTTGTATATTTTTACTTCTAATCACATATTTTGGTATCACAGTTTCTCTGTGTGCTACATCTATTATTAGAATACATTCCAGTGGGACTCTTCACTCTTACAGTCCTACTGCTCCAGGTTTTTAAAATCAATTCCCTTTGGTTTTTTTTGTTGCAAGGGTCAGAGTAGAGATGTAAAGGACTAGTCAGGTAGTCACCTACCTGAGCAGCATATGATTATCGGGTAGTTGAGTCACTATGAAACTAGTCGCTTCTCTCCCACCTTGCTGCCAGAATGGGGGTGTGAAAAGGATTAAAGCCCCTTCTGAAATGTCTCCAATTGCCCTTCTCCCCCTGCCAGGCTACAGAACATCCATGCCTGTCTCCAGCTCAGCCCCTGGCCTGCAGAGCCAGGGACAGGAAATGGCCGTGGTGGAGCTGGTGAGCTTCGAGGAGGTGGCTGTGTACTTCTCTGAGGAGGAATGGGCACTGCTGGACCCGGGCCAGAGAGCCCTCTACAGGGATGTGATGCAGGAGAATTACGAGGCTGTGAGCTGGCTGGGTAAGGATTCCTGTCCTTTTGGATAACAACATATGGGTGGGCTCTGGAGCAGTTGAGTTGGGTTTGGTTCAGGGTCCCTCATAGTCTGCACTCTGAATGTGAGGAGTATCTGCCCCATTAATCCTGGCTCCCGTGTGAGAGACTGTCCCTTCTACACGTGTCAAGGCTAAATCCCCACTCTGGCATGATGAATGCAGAAGTGGGGGCACGCAAAAGTGCCCCAAAATCTCATCTTTCCAGGCTTTGGTAGAAAACTTTCCCTAAAATTCTAAAACCCTAGATTTTGGGGATAAAAATCCGCTGCCATTACCAAGGAATGCTAAGAAAACCAGGGAAGAGTTCACTTGGGAAATCTCAGCCCTAAAGTAAAACCAGGACACAAAAATGAACCAATGCCAGGTTAATAAAAAAGGAAACATTTTTATTATCACCACAATACTTCTGTTATAAGCATAATGACTAGATGGAAAAGTCACCAATTAATATACTCAGCGTGGGGGACCCCCATAGACAAAAAGCTTAGGGTATGTCTACACTACAGCGCTAATTCAAACTAACTTAGCTTAGCTCAGTGTGGACATGCTAGTTCGAATTAGCAAAACGAATTAGTTAATTCAAACTAAGCTAATTTGAATTAGTGCATCCAGACTTAAAAACTAGTTCGAATTAGCGTTTTGCTAATTCGAACTAGCATGTCCACACTGAGCTAAGCTAAGTTAGTTTGAATTAGCGCTGTAGTGTAGACATACCCTAAGCTTTTTGTCTATGGGGGTCCCCCACGCTGAGTATATTAATTGGTGACTTTTCCATCTAGTCATTATGCTTATAACAGAAGTATTGTGGTGATAATAAAAATGTTTCCTTTTTTATTAACCTGGCATTGGTTCATTTTTGTGTCCTGGTTTTACTTTAGGGCTGAGATTTCCCAAGTGAACTCTTCCCTGGTTTTCTTAGCATTCCTTGGTAATGGCAGCGGATTTTTATCCCCAAAATCTAGGGTTTTAGAATTTTAGGGAAAGTTTTCTACCAAAGCCTGGAAAGATGAGATTTTGGGGCACTTTTGCGTGCCCCCACTTCTGCATTCATCATGCCAGAGTGGGGATTTAGCCTTGACACGTGTAGAAGGGACAGTCTCTCACACGGGAGCCAGGATTAATGGGGCAGATACTCCTCACATTCAGAGTGCAGACTATGAGGGACCCTGAACCAAACCCAACTCAACTGCTCCAGAGCCCACCCATATGTTGTTATCCAAAAGGACAGGAATCCTTACCCAGCCAGCTCACAGCCTCGTAATTCTCCTGCATCACATCCCTGTAGAGGGCTCTCTGGCCCGGGTCCAGCAGTGCCCATTCCTCCTCAGAGAAGTACACAGCCACCTCCTCGAAGCTCACCAGCTCCACCACGGCCATTTCCTGTCCCTGGCTCTGCAGGCCAGGGGCTGAGCTGGAGACAGGCATGGATGTTCTGTAGCCTGGCAGGGGGAGAAGGGCAATTGGAGACATTTCAGAAGGGGCTTTAATCCTTTTCACACCCCCATTCTGGCAGCAAGGTGGGAGAGAAGCGACTAGTTTCATAGTGACTCAACTACCCGATAATCATATGCTGCTCAGGTAGGTGACTACCTGACTAGTCCTTTACATCTCTACTCTGACCCTTGCAACAAAAAAAACCAAAGGGAATTGATTTTAAAAACCTGGAGCAGTAGGACTGTAAGAGTGAAGAGTCCCACTGGAATGTATTCTAATAATAGATGTAGCACACAGAGAAACTGTGATACCAAAATATGTGATTAGAAGTAAAAATATACAAGTAAAATGCCAAATATTTGAATACACAATACAGTAATAGAAAAGCAAGGTGGGTATATCAGTGGTTGCAGGACAGGGAATTACTTACAGAAATACAGATTTTGGTAATAAGCAGGGCTCGCCAAGCGGCGGCGGGCCCTGCTTGCCAGCCGCACGGAAGCGCACGCAGGGTCTGCTGGCTGGGTGCTGGCAGGCTTGCACCTGGCATGGGCACCATAGCCAGCCCGTGCCCCTTTAAGGGCTCTGGGGCCAGGAGGGGGGCAGACGAGTTTCCCTGGTGGTGCCCAGAGTGTCCACCAGGGCAAGCTGGGGAGGACTAGCCTCCCACTAGTTCGGATTAAGTGGCTACACTGCCCTTAATTCGAATTAAGCGCTTCGCTAGTTAGAATTAAGTTCGAACTAGCGGTTTGTACGTCTGTTAGTTTGAATTAACTTTGTAGTATAAACATACCCTTAGTTACAAAGGAGAGGAAACACCATCTTTAAATGCACAGACATCAGAGTCCTATTCCCAAACCATAAAACAATAAAACCTAACGGATTTATCTAAACTTTATCCTACATACAGATAGTGAAGAGTCTTTTCTTGGAGAGAGACATTTTATCCAAGAAAAACTACTCAGGGACAAAAGAGGGAAAACCCCCAAATTCCTTTGTCCCAGTTTGAAATCTCAATCTGCATTTCTGTTGCCTGGCTGCTACCTGGCTAGGTATAGTTAACCCATTAGTCCGCAGGCTGCTGGCCACATGTGCTTTCCCACGTTTTGCCCATGTTGTACCTTGGCCGGAGGTGTCAATGGAAGGGCCCAGGCAGGAACGGCAAGTACCCAGAATGGCACCAAATGGCAGGCCTGACCCCCAGAATGGCACCAAATGGCAGGGCTGCCCAGCCACAAGAAGGATGCTGGTAAACCACACAAAGGCTGCTGCTGACAGAGTAGAACAAAGGCTACAGAGAGGGAGCTGAGCTGCAGGAACATCCACAAATGCCAGAGGAGCAGCACAGCGATCTCTACCTTGGCCAGCCACAGGAGCAGCCCGACAGTGCCCTCGCCAGCCGCAGGAGTGGTAGCTATTGTGTGCAGCTGGCAGGCCCCACCCAGGCACAGGCAATCGGGATCAGGACTGTGGAGGTTAGGCTGGGCTTGAAGCAACCCGCCAAGGGTTCATTTTGCTGCTCAGACAACTTCCCCTGCCTCCTTCTGGCCCAAGTGGCGCCTCTGAGCTAAAGAGCAGGGTAAGTCCGACCCCCAGCCAGGAGCTTTGTGGACAGAGTCGTTGGGACTCTAGAGCAGGTGTGGCCAACCCACCGCTCATGAGCCACATGCAGCTCTTCAAAGAAAAAATTGTGCACCCGCACCTCTTAGAGGGCCAGCATGTCTCTCTCTGAAAGAGACACAGCCGGCATCCTGTGCAGCCTTCAAAATGTCTGCCACCTTAAAAGGGCAATGCCAAATGGTGTCCGGGGCGCTTTTTTTTTTTTTTTTTTGTGCTCACCAACTTTTTTCCTTTGGGTCTTTACACTGTATCCACCACTACTTTGGTTCTTCATCTGTAACGGGTTGGCCACCTGTGCTCTAGAGCTCTGCTGGGTCTTTTCTCTCCAAGTCCTAGTGACCTGCAAGTGGCAGCTGCAATCTGAGCCCTTCCTGGATGCTTCACTGCCATCCCTCTTTGGAGCTCACCTGAGCAGTGTGTTCCTGTCCTGCTCTGGGATGGGACTGGAACGGACCTTGAAGGAGACTTAGGGTACATCTAAGCTGCATCTCTTTATTGAAAAAGGGATGTAAATTAGATGTATTGAAATTGTAAATGAAGCCGGGATTTGAATTTTCCATGCTTCATTTACATAATGGTGGCTGCGGCTTTTTGAAAAAAAGCCGCTTTTCAAAAAACAAAAAACGTGCAGTCAAGACGGGGATCTTTTGACAGAAATGGCCTGTTTTGAAAGATCCTGTAACCCTCAAGGTTACAGGGTTGCAGGATCTTTCAAAACGGGCCATTTCTGTCAGAAGATCCCCATTTTGACGTGTTTTTTGTTTTGTTCTGGTTTTTTTTCCCCCCCCCAAAAAGTGGCTTTTTCAGCTGGGCCATTCCCAAGGCAGGGGGGATGTACCTTTACTGCAGGTGAGTGTGCCCTGGGATCTTGTACCAACCAGAACCCAGTCTCTGCAAGGTGGGGAAAGGAGTCTCTCTGAGGCTGTGTCCACACTGCAGAGTTTTTGTCCCAAAACAGCTGTTTTTGCCGAAAAACTTTCCAAGCGTCCACACTACAAGTGCATCCTTGGGCAAGAAAAAGTACAGTAGATATTCAGGAGACAGGGCTTTTTGCGCAAGAGTTATTCCCCTTTTTATGAGGAATAAGCCTTTTTGTGAAAGAGCTCTTGTGCAAAAAAGGCGTGTGTGGATGGGCAACAGAGGGTTTTTGCACAAGAATTGGCCTCCTGGTAAAAGCACACATGCTCTGGTAGACAGTCCTGAAAACTCATCACAGCTCTATGGTTCCTGTCTCCTGGCCCCTCTTAAAGGTGCAGGCCCCCTGGAGAAGCCTCGTGACAGGAAGCGGATCCTGACCACCAGCACCTGTCCACGTCTCTCTCTTTGCCACAACCAACACGAGGCATGTCTGCCCCTGAAATACCCTGTGGTCCCACTGGCCCTCATCGGGGCAGCCCAGGGGTCACAGGACCCACCCAAGGGCACCAAGAGGCCCGCACCCACCTGGTCTGGCCCAGAGGTCCCCGCTTTTGGAGCTCTGGGGACAGGAGGAGGCCCTGCAAGATCCTCAGGCTAGGAGGAGAAATGCTGAGACCTTTGAATAGGTCCAGAGTAAGGTAAAAGAACTGCAGCTGGTGTAGGTTCATGCCAGCGAGTGCTCAGGGGCAGGACCCCGCTTCTCCCTGAGGATGGCGGGCTGCAGGTGGGTGTCCTATCATCAGAGAACAGGGGTGAGCCAGGCACATAGCTCCAAAAGGTGACCTTCTGCATGCGGAAGTTCTGGAGCCACTGCTGGTTAGCCCAGCGCTCCATCACTAGGTGGTCCCACCAGTCGGAACTGGTGTCCAACCTCCAGAGCCACCTCTCCACAGAGGGCTGCAGTTGCCACGTTGTAGCCACCAAATCCAGGGAGAGGGACTTCACATTGAGCTTGCAGTCGTGCAGCTGCAGGAGCAGCATGGCACTGTGCAGCAACTGCTGCACAAACAGCAGCATGGCCTTGTGGGGCCAGGACATGCCCAGGGGCAACTTTGGCTCTATGGCACAAAGTGGAAAAGCTGTGGTATCCAAAGAAGCACAGGGCAACCGGAGCAGTCACTGCTAACACCTCAAGAGGTCTGTAAGCGGGCAGCAGCAGTAGAGAAACGGCTGTCCAGGGAGGTCCCTTTAGGCACATGTCTCTGCAGGGCTCAGGCACCAGCCCTCAGAAGCAATTGGTGATCTTTTGCCCTGCATGAACTGGTTCTGGGTGTCCGCTTTTGCACAAGAGCCTCCATGTTGTGTGGACACTCTCTTGCGCAATAACTTTTTGTGGAAGATCTCTTCCGCAAACAGGTTCTTGCACAAGAAGCCTGCAATGTAGACATAGCATGGGTGGGTGACTCAGATTCTGGCTCTGGAAGCAGTAGTGGCACAGACCTCAATAAACAAGATCAGCACTTGTGTAATTGCTTCCCAACCAGGATTTCCAGCTTCCAAACCTCATGTGATTTCCTGGGTGGAGCGAGGGGAAGAGCTGTGGATCCCAGATCTCCAGGGCTGTGAGGAAGGGGAGATCATCAGTGATGCCCACACAGGTGAGCAATCAGCTAAACTGACTCAGAAACCAATTTCTGTGTCCTGATAGAAGATGTCACTTGTGCATTTTCATCAAGGCTCACTGATGTGTAATCCTGTCTTCACTTCCAGTCTGAGGGTACTGGGTGGGGAAAAGGTTATGGGGAAGGAAGGTGAACTCAGCTCACGATTATTCAATATTTCTAGCCGTTCCTTGGGCAAATTCCCCCTTTTCTACTTCTTCTTTAGAGTTTCCTTTCAGCTCCGCACAGGGAATGACTCCTTTTCGATTCTCTCTCTTTTCCAGCAGTTGATGGGATGCTGAGTGAGATCCGTGAGGA